AATTGTCTTGGTCATGGCATTACTTCACAGCAACAGAAAAGCAACCAAGACACATGGTTACCTTTAGTGGACCTTTACCAAGCCCTCATCTCCATGCTGAGTTATGGCTCCCTCTCTCCTGTATTAAAAGTAGAACTGAGGGCCCTCTTCTACACTTCAGCCTGACTCTTCCCTTCTTTACCATTGGATTCTCTCCAGTGGTCCCAAGTTAGCTTTTCCCACGCATCTTGTCAGAGACAAGAAATAACAAGCAGACTCCTCCATCTCATCCTCCCTTTTCCCACTTTCCTTGCCAAGTCAGAAGCTAATGTATACCATATCCTCTACTCCTAAAGGCTCAATCCTTACTTCCACTCAGAAATGCATTCTGTGTGGATTTCTAGTTGTATTCTACTGTGGTGTTATAAGATACAATAAGTCCAGGCAAATGGACGGCACTAGAAGAAACCATCCTGAGTGAGGTAACCCAGTTGCAAAAAGAGAAACATGGTATGTACTCACTCATATATGGATTTTAGACATGAATCAGGGGAATGTCAGCCTACGATCCCACTGCCAGAGAGTCTGGGAAACAGAATCTTCATCTAGCAACTGATGGAAGCAGAAGCAGACACCCACAGCTAAACACTGAACTGAACTCCTGGAATCCAGTGACAGAAAGGGAGAACTGGTGAGCAAAGGGGTTAAGACAGGGCTGGTTTAATCCACAGAAACAGTTGACCTGAAAAGAGCGAGCTCTTGAACACCATATTGATGGCTGTGTGGAAAACATGGGATTGATCCAGAACCCCTAAGTGTGGGTGTCAGTGAGGAGGCCTAGGCAATCTATAGGGCCTTGGGTAGTATTTATCTCTTTGGCTGCCCATCCCACAATGAGGGATGCTCTCTCAGCCTGGACTCTTGGGGGAGGTCCTAGGCCCTGCCCTGGATGAAATGACAGACTCTGGAAATCCATCATGGAGGGCCTCACCCTCCCTGGAGATCGGAGTGGAGATTGGGTGGGTGCCTGGGAAACCTAGTGGGGGGCAGGAGAGGAGGGGAGGGAGAGGGAGCTGGGATTGACATGTGAAGCAAGCTTGTTTCTAACTGAAATTTTAAAAAAGGAAGAAGAAAAGATACAAGAAGTCAAGTCATTCTAGTTCTCTTGTATTTGCTAAGAGTTCCCACACTCTGTTGAGGAGAATGCTTATTCTGTGTCCATTAGATCAAATATTCTGTAGATATCTGTTACATCTATTGATCTGTAGTTTAATTCTAAGGTTTTTTACCTTTAGTTTGTGTGTCTGTCTAGACATTAAAGTTGGTATTAAATTCATCTACTATTATTGCATCAGGACCTATCTGATATTTTAAGTCCAATAGCTTTTTCTTTGTAAAATTAGGAGTGATGACATTTAGTGCACACATGTTATAACTGTATCATCTTAATTATTTGTTCCTGTTACTAATATAACAGTGGTCTTTTTTTATATCTCTGACTTCGCTTTGAGATTTACTTTTTTCAAATATGGGAATGACTGTGCCAGCTAGCTATTGGCTTCCATCCATTTGATAGACTGATTCCTGTCTTTTGATTCTCGTTCTGGGGGTGTCTTCCCAGTGTGTTGTGTTCTTAGTAGACAACAGATACTTTTTGTTATTTGTTCGTTTGTTTTTGCTTCAACGGTCACCTAGGCTGCATCCTTTTATGTATGAGCTGAAGCCATTTATGCTTAACATTTATTATTCAGAGAGTTTGTTGTTGTTGTTGTTGTTGACATTTTTATGGTTAGTAGAATAGTTTTTTGTTCTTTTATTTCTCCCTTATTAGTATTAGGAATGTTTTGGCTTACTAAATTAGACATGATGAACTTTTTCCTTATTCCGATGTTAGCCCATTTCTGTCAAAACTCTTGTGATTGAGACTGTCTTTAATTCCCTTTATTGTTTTGCAATGCTGGCTTAATGACTATAAGCTATGTTACTTTGTTCCTGTCTCGTTTCACTGTCAATTTTGAAAGGTAGATTTACCAGATATGAAAATCTTGGCTGTCAGTTATTTGTTTTCAGGACTTGGAATATACTATCCCATGCTTTTCTGGCTTTTGGGATTTCTGGCAATAGATCTGAACTTATTATATGTTTGCTTTTGTACGAGAGTTGGTGATTTTCTCTACAGCTTGTAATATTGCTTCTTTCCTTTGTATTTCTGACACCTTGACTACAAGACACCATGGAAAGCTTCTTCTTTGGTCATACATGTTTGGGGCTAATGGTTCGTGTGTTTGAGTATCTATTATCTATCTTTTTACAGTTTTAAATTTTCCGTTATTTCATTAAATTGATGTTTCAAGCCTTTAGTTTTTCATCTCAGCTCCGTCTTTTATTTTGACGATTCTTAGATTGTTAGTTATTAGACGCTTTTTCTTCTCTATTGATATTTGATTGCATTTCATTGATCCTCTCCACAACCATAACACTATTTTTTCCATTTGGTCAGGTGTATTGTTGATATTTTCCTCTGTGCTTTTTATTTGTTCCATCATTTCTTGTTTCAACGATTTTCTGTTATTTTTTTATTTTTTATTTTTATACAGTTTTGAAATCTTTATCCATTTCAGTCTTTGAATCTGATATTGGAGGCATTGTGGCATTTTGGAGGAGTCATGTTGCCTTGGGTTTTTTGTTTTTCTTTTTCTTGTGATTCTTTGTCAGAATTTATACATCTATTAATTTGGACATGTCTATTCAGGTTTTATTTGGGAGTCTTATTGAGTGATTTACTCTAATGGGCCCAATTCTCAGTTACATCCAGAAGAATAAAGTCAAACATTTGTGAGAGCAACATCCAACCGTATGGGCTACAGAAAGACCCTGAAAGTCCCTCTAATATATCACTAGTGAGCATAAAACTGAAGAGGCAATTCTAATGCAGACATCTTGTGATGTTAAAACTTTTCATTGAAAATGTGAGAAGAGAAAATGGACAAGGTTAAGAAAGAATACATTGAAATGAGATAAATAGATGGCAAGAAATGTTCAATGAATGCAAAGACGAATGCAGAAGAATCTTATGGGTGGTAAAATAGTGCAATATTGCACAGAAAATTTTAAGAAAGTAAAAGCAAACAACAACTAAAACAAGATTTCTTACTAATGAGAACACTCAAAACAAAATTAGGTATACATACATATAAGAATATATAAAAAGAGAATAAAAACTAAAACATAAGCATTTTAAAGTAAATTCTATCAAAATTATAGTAGAGAACAAACAAAGGGGACACTAAAGATGGAAAGAAAGGTCAAAGATTGCCCGATAATGGGAAGCATATAGAAACGCAGTTAGATGACCACATAGTGGGAATAAATGTGTAGAAAAAAGGGAAAGAATGAAGGGAAAAGTGATGACGTGTTGGAGCAGCCTCCATGTTCTTGAAAATTAGAGACAGCCAGGTTTATATAAAATAGAAGGAGGAGCAATAGATGTTTTTGTGGACTCTCGTGTTCTATGACTTATGCTGGAATTGAATCTGTACTACGACAAGTGACCAGTGTCCATCTCCTTCGCATTAGCAGCCTCCTTTTGTTGCATACCAGGGGTCTTTGCTGACCCTCTGTAAACTGTGTTTTCCCACCTTCAGGAGACTGATATCCTTCCAAGAGTGTTGATCCTGGGGGAAGCAGCCACAACACTGCGACCTGTACAGCAGAGGGACTTGTCTTCATAGTTTCAAGATCACATGAGTATTAATTTTCCCATTGGGCTAATACACCCAGAGATGTTATTGTGCCCAAATGCTGAACCCCAAAATCACCAAGAGGTCCATTTCGATGCAAAAGCAAAGAGTCTTTTATTGTAGCTGTTTACCAAGCTAACCCCATTAGTTTGGGCCTTTCATCCATACACTGCAGTGAATGGCTGGAGAAAAGACCCCGAGAAATTACGAGGCAGGGATCTTATAGGGCAGCATAGGGGAGTGTCTAGGGGTATGCAACAGTCTCGGGATTGGTACACTTCCAGACTTGGACGACCTGCCCTGTGCTGATTGGTCAAGTGGTTGTTATGGCCCATAGGCCCTCCCAGGGAGGTTGCTATGCTCTGTATATCATTGTCGTGAACTTGTCTGTAAAGCACACCCGAAGCCAGCTAACTTCTGATTGGTTCCTTGCCACAAGGAGGGCATCTGACCTCCTAGTCTCCTACCAGCACAGATTGTTGAAGCATCAGTGCATTAGGCTCTAGAGGTATGAAATTAAAAAAGGTGGTGGCAGCCGGGCGTTGGTGGCACACACCTTTAATCCCAGCACTCGGGAGGCAGAGGCAGGCAGATCTCTGTGAGTTCGAGGCCAGGCTGGACCGACAGCCTCCAAAACAGAGAAACCCTGTCTCATAAAAACCAAAAAAAAAAAAGGTGGTGGCAGAGGTTGATCAGCCTACTGAGCTAAGGCTGAGAACTACCAGACTCCAGAGTGATTCATAGCATCTGTTACTGGCCACAAAGCTGGCTAGCCTTTGGAGCAGGTACTAGAGAGAAATGTGGATGTGTGTGGAGTCATAGGTTAGGGAAAGCCCTAGGATGCAGTAAGCAGAGGTCAATGGGCCATTATGGTAGAAGTTAGGAAGGTCAGAGTTCCTAGAGAAATGGAGACAAGGGAGACCCAGCTCTTGAGGTTTCAGAGAGGAACCAGGCATGAGAAACTGGGGAAGCAGCCATTCATATTATGTCCCAGCAAAGACTCTGTGTTCCATCTATCTAGGAACTTGAATGAAGCAGGACCCAAAAGCAATGAACTAATTTCTTTGGTGGAGGAAATTTCAAGCAGGATAGCTTAAATTTGCATTAAAATATGGCATGGTTCCTGTTTGCTCCCTTTGTTCAGATCTACAACGGGAAATAATGGAAAGACCTGAAAAATGTGCTGTTTGATAAGGAAATGAGTGTGTGTTAATTTAGTTGAGGACAAGGAGGACATATTAGTTACTTTTCTGTTTCTGTGATAACACAGTGTAACCAAGACAACTTACAAAAGAGTTTATTTCACCTCACAGTTACATAGTGATGAGATTCCTCTAAGGCAGAGAGCCATGGCATCAAGTGGCAATCACAGAAGCAGGGGCAGGAAGCTGAGAGATCACATCTTTAACTGAAAGCATAAAGCAGAGAATGTTCAGGCCATGAACTGTCAAAGGTTCAGGGTTGGCAAAGAGCACCTTCACAGGCTGAGCTGTCTCAGCCCATAATTCTTGTGTGTGTGTGTGTGTGTGTGTGTGTGTGTGTGTGTGTGTGTGTGTGTATGTTTGCAGTGTTGAGACTGAACTCAGTGATTTACACATCCTAGACAAATGCTCTACCATCAAGCTATGTGCTCTCTCTCTGCCCTGAGCTGTTAGGCAAGTTCTCACATTGTACCCATACTAGGCTCTGTGAGATTCTCCTGCCTCCTGAGCTTTGAGATGTCAGTATTGATGAGTTTTTAGATTATTGTATAACTTCAAAAGATGAAATAAGACATATTACAGAGCTGTAACATCTGGGATGCTATTGAAAATCCAGATTGAAAAACAGATTGTAGGTCAAGAACTTTTGGCTTCATTGCTTTTTGTTTTTCCTTGGTAGTTTCCTGTGACCTCATGCTGTGACCATGCAGCTCCAAATCTCAGTTTCTCACATGGAAGCCTGGGTCAGGGAGACAAGATGTTCTATGGTGGGGGCACTGTTTTTGTCCTTCTGCTCACTCTGACCAGTGCTGGACAGAAGATGACAGTGGCTAGGATTTGTTATCCCCCCATCCAAATGGGCCTCATTGGGAGCAAAGAGTTCCCTCCTTCAGCTAAAAATCTCACGCTGTCTGACTTTGTTTCAACTCTGATTTCTGAAGTGCAGTCCTAGCTGGCCAGCAGTTAAGAGTTAGTTTTTCACAGACAATCTAGGATGTCTAGATTATATAATTAATAATAACCTGTTTTGTTATTCCTGCTTGTGGTAAGATCTTTGATACAGGTGAGAAGTTATTGGGTAGGAAACTTTTTAATATTTACTTGATACATCATCTTTCCTTACCTCTAGATCTGTTTGTCTTCTCCAGGAATTGAATTCTTTGAAGCAGACTCAGATTTCCTGTTCTTCTGTGGTAGCCTTTTCAGGTGTCTGAGGTTGATTGCAGTCCAGAAATATCAAGTGGAGAACTACAAAAGTAAGTAATGTAAGGGAGTCCCATGCTGTCTGACTCTCTCCTACCCAGGAAGTAAAATGCCTACGGGGCTAGTGTCCACAACATACACATTATCTGGCTGATAATCACTCAGCCTTCTCATTTGTCACGTTGCTTTCAAAGCCAGTGTTTGTTTTCAAGTAGTCTAAATCTGTGTCAGAATAACTGTGTCCCTTACCTCACTGCATATCATGGAGGCCTCCCAAGTCCTTGGAAGAAGGACATAAGCAACACACCAAGACACAGTACAAAGGAGAGAGCACGTTCACATTTGCATTAAAATGTCTTCTTTATAATTATTCTATTTTCTTATTGCGTATTACATTAATCTCTTGCTGTGTCTAATTTATAAGTTAAGCTTCATAATAGATATGAGTCTATAGGAGAGACATGATATATACAGGAGGTCTTGGCATATCTTTCCCTCGGATAAAGGGAAATGATTGCTCTTTTCCATAATCAGAGATCTAGCAATATGTGTCTTTGGTTGGGAAGGAGAGAAGGAACATCAATTGGCCCACTCAGGAAAAACAAACCAGTAACATGAAAACAGAGTCAATATAGTCAGGGTGGGAGCATGGTGAGGGGGGGCGCGGGTGAAGTAGCTTAGAGTATGAGAAAGCACAAATATCCACATCCAAACAGGTATAACAAAAGAGAAACAGATTTGTACAATTCTATTCATGACCACATTTTTTCTTCCTTTTTGGAGCTAGGGTTTCTCTGTGTAGCTTTGTAGACCAGGCTGGCCTCGAACTCACAGAGATTCACCTGCCTCTGCCTCCTGAGTGCTGAGATTAAAGGCGTAAACCACCACAGCCCAGCTATGAACACAAACTTGAAGTGCCCACTTTCTAAGAGCAGGCAAATGACCCAAGTGACCAGCATGCCTAAAGTGCAAACCAAATCAAGGCTGACTGTGAGAGCCACACCCACACAAGCCTGCCCCAGCCTTTCCTGCGCATTCGAAAGAAATCTCTTTAGCTGCCCCTCAGCATGGTGTGCCCCAGGTGGAGGTTGGGAACAGGGACCCTGGATTGTCTCTGCAGGTCTGACATGGAAATCAAAAACAGTACAGAAAAGGAAAAGCCGAAGACACGTTTTTTCAGTGCCCCACCCCCACCTGGGCCGCCTAAATATTAGCATTAAAAAGGACAAAGTGAGAATTGGGAGTTAAGAGCTATCCTGACTTTGCTGGATCCCTCCAGCATTGCTTTCTGTCAGGGAGCCAAGTGAGGCCGAGATCTTACTAGAAAGGAAAAAAACATACCACTCAGGTCACATGCACTATGAAGCCTCGGGATGGTTGAGGACGCCAATGTGGGGCACCCTGGTATGTCTCAGAGTTTAGAGGTGAACCTGGGACCCGGATGGTCGAGCAGAGAGCCAAGGGTGAGACCCTGCAGGTCCTTGAGTATATTCCAACCCTCTTCACTTGAGAATTTTCTAGAAAATAGAGGCAAGGGCTGCCTAGTCTGAGGTGCTAAGAAACAGGAACCCTGGGGTCCTGGAGAGTGGGGGTGACCTCCAGTGTGTCCGGGAGAGAGCTTTCTCTGGGTACCGCAGGAAGTCTCTGGAGGTGGTCCAGGTCCCGAGGACACTGTACACAGGAAGTGAGAACTGGGAAGATTTATCCTCGGCGTCTCAGGGCACTTTGAGATGGGGGTGGAGCAGGGCAGAGCTAGTATTTAAAAACATGAGAGCCGCATCAAAGGACAAAACAGATACAAAAAATCCCGGACCAGATCTCCCAGTTTATGGCTTATCCCGTGTTTTCTGGCATTTAGTCCCTTTTTAAAATTCAAGGTTTAGAAAACGACCACCCCAAGAACACCATACCTTAGGCTAACTGGGCACACTAGGGAGCTACATCTTCATTCCTGGACACTTGTCCTAGCTGTGAGAGACACACCAGGCCTGTGCTTGCTGTCGGCTCTATCAAGCCCTTTCTTGGGACCTCCTTGGGCTTACTCCCTTTGCAGCAAAAGGCTTCACTCAGGCCTCATCTGAACCCCTTGCTAACTCCACAGGCTCCGTGTCTCCTCAAGACCCTGTAGAAAGCCATTTGTGTGAATGACACTGTAAACCAAGAAGGTTATAAGGCAGAGCATGATTGGCTCCCTGGGGCTTATTGCAATAACTTTAATCTTCTGGAACTCATCTGGTATGAATTTAGGAAACGGACGGCTGAAACTCCCCCTAACACAGCTCTCTGGCCTTGGTGTGCTGTGAGGTTGGCTATGTTTTAAGGCCTGGCCCTCGGCTCCTCACTAACAGGCCTTGAAAAGCATGGCATACAGGAGGGGTGAGGCGTTTCCCTGGCTTTGTCCTTTGGGGAGGAAACAAATATCTACCTTGAAGTGCAAGTGAGCCAGGCCTTCCTTGAAAGAGCATCTGTCACTAGGGGTGGAGACGCGTCTGGCACCTGCATTGTCTCTGGAGCTCTCTGTTTACAGGTCCACGAGAGGGCGGGGAGGCTTCTCAGGTCTTTGTGCCAACAGTCAGGTTTTGTCACCACCGGGCTCACCAGGGTCAATTACAACCAAGACCCAGGCTTGGGGACCAGCTTCCCCCACGTTTACAGCCCTCTGTGTCAAAGATGACAACACTGACTATCTCGGGTCATATGGCATCTCTGACCTCACTTGTCACAGGTTGCTAATCTCTCTCCTCGTGGTCACTCCAGGTTCATATAGTGTCAGGGTCCTAGTGTTACCTTGGAGGATGGAGTCCTAAGAGTGTCTTTAGTGCTTTGCATTTGGATTGTGTGGCTGGAGGGGGTGGGGTGAGGTCTCTCTGATGCTCTGAGCTTTAGGGTCAGAGTCTTGTTTGGAAGGTTCACACTCGCTTACAGATAAAAATAGGAACCTGTATTAGGGATGTGGGCTAAGCAGCCAGGGAGTCATATGCTTCTCTCTCCTAGAGGGATTTTAAAATGCATACCCTTGTCACCAGTGTTCCCTGGATAGTGACCAGCTTCATGGACAAGAATCATGACACCTCCAAGGGTGAGGGAACACCACTTCTCAGTTTACAAGGCTCACACAGGTTTAATCCCCTTGCAGCAAAAGGCTTCACTCAGCCCTGTTGCTAAATGAGGATGCTTGCTCGCAGCCTTGCAGCCTCGGTGTGAAATGACTTTCTCTGGAACGCAGCAGGAGTAGCTACCTGACAGACAGGCAGGCAGCTGGACTCACAGGCCAAGCAGTTCAGCCATTCTAGAGTTGGGCATATCTCGGATGTCTCCTGAGCCTGTTTTTCTTTTTTCCTTAGATTAACAACTGATGATACAGTTGTCTGATTAACAGAGTGTGCTATATGTCTATTGTAGTAAATACGGACTATTTCCATGGTGTATGTTCATACATAATAGATTTTCAATCATCCTAACTTCAAACCCTCTGTCACTCAGTATTTCATATATTGATGACTTCACACAAGTTTAGAAGATGGTTCATTGTGGACCATGGGGTGGGGCAGGGCAGGGAATGACTATGAATACCAGTGACTCTGGACCTGACTGCTAGACCACATCCTGGTTAACTGTGAGCTCCGGGTGAAGGGGCTGGAATTCCAGCACCCACAGAGCACCCACGCAAGCCATGCTGTGCCGATTGGCCTTGCCAGCATCTGTCACCAGAGGAAAGGTAACATTGCCTGTGCCCAGATGCCCCGGGTACCTTGCTACAGTGTGGGAAAGCCAGCAGTAAGGGACAGGGGGTGGTGCTGTCCTGAAGCCACTACTGGCCAGCTGTGAGTGCCTGGGTGGGATTCAGCAGCTGGCCAGGCTCCAGCCCCTACACTTGCCAATTCCCCCGTGGTCTCTGCTAACTGCAGTAAGGAGGTTTTGAAGGGTTTTGAACATTTCGTACTGATGAATGTATGTTTTTAATTTTGTGGAATTTTGAGTGTCAACTTAGGAATTTTCAAGAAACTGGTCTTTCAAAAGAAATGGAAACACTTGAGCATTTTTCTTTAAAGTCCTTTCTGAATAGAAAAGCATCAAACCTGAGAAGAAGCCAAAAGACGGGATCTAGAGAAATGTCACTGACTCTTTGCTTCCTTCCTGTAAGAATTTTCTCAGAGAGACAAGCCTGTGTGACTGGTTAGGTGGCAAAACAAAGGAGGAACTGGACCGGAATCTAGCAGAGCTAGCCTGGAGTTATTGTCCATGCTTCTGCTGAAATGGCCAGCATTTCTCAACAAACAGTCCTGCCTTGTTTCTTACTAGGATCATGTGCAATCCAGCAGCTAAGGTAGGAGAGGGGAGCAAGGATGTCCCTCCAACTGAGACCAAGGTAGGGCCACACCACCCAGGTCTACTGTACCCCAGAAGGATGTTGACACCAGCTGCGAGGGCTCTCCTCCCCTTGCATGATCCATAGATGGAGGAGTAGGTGATCTGGACTCCCCTGGGCCCAGCCTACCTCTCCTGCCTTCCCTTCTCTGGTCTATTTATGAGAACTAATAAATTCCTCTTCAACCATAGCCTCAGTTAATTTGGTTGCGTTTTAGTCACTTCTGACTGTAAAAATGTTTGGCTAATACAAAACGCCTTGCAAAAGGTTTGTAGACACGCTGCTCCAGCAAGCTGGTGGAATTTTTATTGCTGTTTCCATGATAAAAATTTCTCAAAATCACTTAAGCCTGGCCAATCCACAGTGTCCCGTGAAATTCCCACTGAACATCCTGAGACGTCACCAAAGCCCTGTCCCCACAGGCTGACCAAGCTGGCCAGCCCCATGTGTTAGCTTACTATTTGCAAGAATTCTTCTCTTCTGTCACAGAGCCCTGTTGAGGCATGATCTGGCAAGACAAGAGGAACAAGCTGAATGCTCACTGTGGCTGCTGCTGGACTGAAAGACTAGTTTCTCCAAGATTCTACATATGCCTCTGGCTGATAGCCACCTTGAAGCCATTGCTGGCCACTCTATCTGAAAGAACTTTGCCCATGATCACTGGTCTTCACTGGGCAGCAGCAGCCAACAACCCATCAGACTGGGTGCAGAAGGAGGCCCCCCACTTCTTAGGAGCTGGAGCCCCTTCAGGGCCAGCTAGAACAATTCTTAAGACTCCTTCACAGCCTGAGCTCTCTTCTGCCTGACCCTGTTTCCTTTATTCCTTCTCCCTGGATGACCCAGAAAACATCACAAATAGACATGCCACATGTTACCACTGATCTCAGTGACCCACTCTCAAGCCTTGAGGGTGGAGGGGCTCCCTTTTCTTCTTACTATGAAGAATTAAGCCACCTTCCCAGATGCTGTCTGCCAGGGCCAGTCTTGAGTCGTCCTGGACATCTTCTCCAGGTTCAGTTGATGGAATGAGATGGGAAGGGTCTCCTGAGAGAAGAGCAGGGTGGCTCTGAGGTCCAGCCACCCACAGGGGGCTTGTGCTATCTTTGAGAACAACATGGGCAAGAGAAGCCCGGCCCACCGTGCAGAGATCATCAATCCTGCTGTGTAGCTTGGGCAGATGAGGCTGACATGGTTTGGGGTTGCTCTTATTAGTGAAGCAGGTGACAGCGTGGTCTCAAATATGAAAGAAAGCACAGACAGGACATCCTGGGTGCTCCTGAGGTCCCTTCCTGGGAAACAACGAAGCCAGGCCACAGTGAAATGGAGAGGCACGTTGCTTCTTAGAATCTACTAGTGCCACAGGCTAGGGACATGGGGAACACTGGCACCTGAAGAGTGCCTTCTTGTTCTCAAGTCTAACTTTTCTGGGATCACCTACTCCTTCTTTGGCCTTATGATTGCTTCTCGTGCTCCCCTCAGATATGCTCTGTTGTCTCCAACACAACCCCCATCCTCCATCTCATTCCTCTGCCCCCCAAATGCCTCACTCTATCCACTTCAACTCTACTTTTAACATCTCTTACCCTGTGACGTTCAGCTGAACTAAACCTCCTTCACTAGTTGTTCTAGTTGACATAGCACGCTCTAACTATTGCCCCTACAGTCCTGTCTCTTCACTGACGAGCATGCCTATGCTGGTCTGGCTCAAGATCCTGGGCCAATGCCTGAGAGGCAGCCAGTCCTACAGATAGCAGCTGGAAGGAATGGGGAAGCCAGGAGAGGTACTTCCTGGTAAAGCCCAAATTTACCCTTTCTGCTTTCTAATGTCAAGCAACCTGGCCCTGGCAAAGGGAGGTGTGCTGACTTATATGCCTCTGCTTCTCAGATGGGTCCTTTCTTCTGCCTTGGGATGGGCTTCCATGCTATTCCTGGTTACAGGTAAGGATTCTGAGTACTCCAGGACTTTTGGATTTTGCACGAAAGTAGTATTAGATGTGCCATCACCAGAACCTCTAGTTACCTCATGTGTTGGTCAATTTTTGTCACTGTGGAAAAATGTTCCTGACAATCTATAAGGAGAAAAGATCTGCTTTGGTTCATGGTCTCAGAGGTCTCAGTCATGGACAATTGGCCATGCTGCCTTGGGTCCATGATAACAAAGGACATTGTGATAGAGAGAAAGTTCACTTCATACACCTAGGAAGCAGAGAGGAAAAGTGACCAGGGTCCCAATATCTCTCTAGTGACACCAATAACATAATTTGTTCCCAATAGGCCCTTCCTCCTAAAGGTCCCACTACCTCCCAGAGACACCACTTTGGGGATCAACCCTTTAATATATGGGCTTTAGGGAGACTTTCAAGATACAAACCATAGACCCTTAGAAGGGAAGAACAAACCTTCCAGGATACTCCTGGGTTGTGAGTATCCTTACTGTGGTGTTTTGAAGAAGAATGGCCCCCATAGGCTCATATATCTGAATGCTTTGTCACCACGGGGTGGAACTCTTTGATAGAATTAGAGGGATTAGGAAGTATGATCTACCTGGAGGAAGTATGTCCCTTTGAAATTTCAAAGCCCAAGCAAGACCCAGTCTCTCTCTCTCTCTCTCTCTCTCTCTCTCTCTCTCTCTCTCTCTCTCTCTCTCTCTCGTGTGTGTGTGTGTGTGTCTACGAATGGATCAGGACATAGCTCCTGCCATGTTCCCCGCCATGACTGACCATGCCTAAATCCCTGAAACTGGAAGCAAGCCCCTAATTAAAAGCTTTCTTTTATAAGAGTTGTCTTGGTCATCGAGTCTCTTCACAGCAATAGAAAGATGGCTAAGTTACTCACCATAGAAGGGGAGGTTGGAGGTAAGGACACTGGCACCCTTGGGGACAGTCCTATATGTCCAGGGCACACAGACATAAGACTAGAGATCCTGGTGCTCAACAGAACTTCCCGGACTAAAGACATGGCATTTAGGACTTGGTAGAAGCAGATACTGAAAGAAAGAAAATACATCATTATGGAAGCCAAAAGTCCAAAGCCAGGATGCTGGCTAGCCTGGCTCAATATTGACCTCCTTTCCTGAAACCAGCCTCCCAAAAGTGAAAATCCCTAGGCCCGCACTGAGCTCAAAATAGCCCTGATCTGTAGCTGTAGGCCACACAGTCCAGAGACTTGAGTGTAGAGATTTGGGCTGGCCATGATTCCAAGTTTACCTCTTTCTCCTTCACACTCATCCAAACTGGGCTTAGCATCCTCAAGCTGCTGTGTGATCCTGCCAGGACACTGCTGCCCAGTTCGGGCTAGGAGGGATGGGCTCTTCCCACAGACACATTGGATGTTCTCACTAGGTAGAGACACTATCCCTCCTCTGAGCTCGAGTTGAGAAGCAGGCCTCTGTGAAGTCCGACCATTGGTTTTCCATCCAGTTTCTTCTTCCTTTCTCTGAAAACTAAACACATCTACCATCTGGAACCCTGGAAATGGAGGTCAAATTCTGCACACATGAAGCATTTCCGCCTGAATAAACAAGTTCCTTTCTCTCCTTTTGGTCCACCATCATTCCCAGAATTGGTCCAGCTGTTCACAGCCTGCTCTACCTCCTGGCCCCAGATGTATTCTAGGGCAAGCACACACCTGGCCTGGCTAGATGGAGGAAAGCAACAGGAGAGTTTTACTCCTACAGCCCAGGAGAGGAAGAAGCAGGTGGCGGCTCATCCCCAGGTCAGCCCTGCCCTTGGTGGCTGGCTCTTCTTCTTCTTCCTGAGGACCCAGTCAGGGCAGTATGTGCATCCCAGCCTCTCAGTGGCTCCCCAGCCTCCTCCAAGTGGCTCCCTGGGCCTCCATTCCTGCTTTCTTCTGCCTCTTCCTCCCCTTCTCCAACACTAGCTGACCAAGGATAAAGTGTTCCTGGACCCTAGGCAGGCTGGTTTTCCCTGGGACTCAGGCTAGGATCTGGCTGTTTAGACTACTGCCTGAGCAGCCCCTGTATGAAGGCTTAGGGGGGTTCCAGGTCCTCTGAAAGTCTTCAGGAGCCCCCAGGGCCTGCTGGAAGGGAATCATTTCCCACCAATGTCCTGCTGCTGTAGCGTACCTTTCACTAAAGTTCTTCCATGTGTAAATTCTTACTTCCTGGACGGGGCTGTGGGGAAATGAGGCCCAGGGAGAGGTCTTCTGGTGTTTGCCAGCGAGTCACCAGAGGGAATCATGAGACTCAGGTCTCTTCCTTCCCTCTCCCTTTCCAGCCTTACAGCTTGCTCCACCTTGTGCTGTCTGCCATCATGGGGGGAGCAACCCATAAACTTTCAAGATTGAGTCAAAATAAAGTCTTTTTTCCTCTTTTTTTTATGAGACAAGGTTTCTCTGTATTGTTTTGGAGGCTGTCGGTCCAGCCTGGCCTCGAACTCACAGAGATCCGCCTGGCTCTGCCTCCCGAGTGCTGGGATTAAAGGCGTGCGACACCACCGCCCGGCTCCTCTTTTTTTTTTTTAAGAAAAAATAATTTTACATTGTGTGTGTGTTCACATGTGCATGTTTACGTGTGTGTCTACACCGGTGTGCCAGGTACCCAGGGAGGGCAGAGGTGTCAGATTTCTGCGGAGTTTAAGTGATAGGTAATTTTGAGTCACCTGACATGGGTTTCGGGAACTAAACTTGGATCCTCTGCAAGAGCCTATGAACTGCTGAGCCATCCTTCAGCCCCCAGTTTTTTTCCTTTTACAGTAATAACCTTGAGGAAATCGCTACGGCTGCATAAAGCTGACTGACAGACACACTAAGGTCAGATATGCCGGAGGACGTGGAGGAAAGTTCACTGCTCTGCAGCCCTCCCGTCGTGCTCCAGCCTGCAGGAAACACACACCCAAGAGATGCTACTCCACGCACTGTCTGCCTCCTCCACTCAGGCAACCACCCTCAGACCCCGTCGTGAGTTCTAGATTTCTCAGCTGCAGATGGAGTTGAGCACTCTGCCTCACCACACACGAAAGAGCTGCTTCAGGAGTCAGCCATAAATTGGGAAGTGATAAACAAGAACAGATGCCCTCACACCTCTGCAGGACATGTGGAGCTTATGCTGCCATCACAGGAAAGAACAGACCTTGCCCCCATCTCCAGCTTCTGTCACTCTCCAATGCCTATCTTAATCATTGCATTCTAGAAACCTGTGTCTGGGTTTAGGCACAAACATCTCAGGTCCACAAGGGTAGGGACGAGGGATTTGGTCTTCAGAAGCCCAGAACACTGTGCCAAGAATGCTCCAGGAAGGTCTGCCTGTCGAAGAGTAATGGGAGTTGGTGCCATGGCCCACCTGTACTCAGTCTGTCCCAAGCTCCAATCCTAGCCCACTTGGGTTTCCATGAACTACAGTCCCCGTGGCAGACTGTTCAACAGGATGAGGAGAGGCTCAATTTTGCTCTTTATGGTCAGTTGTTCTATTAAGTCTACTGAACTGCCCTCGAAACTTAAAAAACAACCTGAATTACATTTCCTTATTTATGTGCGTGCACGTACACGCGTCATGGTAAACGTGGAGGTCCTGGAAGCTCTCAGAAGTCAGTCCTCTCTTTCCATCATGTGGGTCAGGCTCAGGAGCAAGCTGGCCCCAGAGAGGAAGCTCTTTAAGTCACATGAGGAGTTAAGACCAAAGCCAGACCTCAAGGCTGACTCACATTGTCCTGAGAGACGACTTTCACTCTGAACCTGCGCACTGCCTCAGAAAATGGTGTGAACACACCACCCCTGTCTGCAGTACTGTGTGGTCCGTCCCAGTGATCATTTTGTCCTGACCAACATTTGGAGACAGTGAAGCTTTCATAGGGATGCTACCGACTGTGGTCAGTTCAAGAACCAGTGTAGTGCTTGGTCATTACAGAAGGAATCCTTGTCCTTGTGAGTTTAAGTGTCACGTTCTCTTTAAACTTCAGGGTCCTTAAGGGAAGCTAAGACTGTGCATGAAGATGTATGAAATGATCATGCATTTGCACAGTAGAACACCAAACACAGCTGGGCCTCCAGATTGAAATACAGCCAACAGATGTGTCAACCATCGGTACCGTCGGCCCAAATACAAACAAGCTGTATATCCCACTGACAATGGCCTGGTTGTGCGGGACCCTCACCTTGACAGCCAGGACAGTACCATGTGCTTTTCTTGGCACACCCTGGGAAGGGTGCCTTACTCTTCCTGAGTTATGAGTGTTTGGGGTTCCGGCTTCCTGCTCCAAACCTCAGCTCCAGTCAACTGGTCGACAGAATTATACCCACAATGACCTGCCGAGAAAGCCACAGAAGTAAATATTGCCTTGGGTCAGATCCCCTCCTGGAATCCCAGAACTGTTGAAAGCTGCCAAGGCAGGGGTAATAGATCACTACAACCCGCCTCTGTTTACAACCGGGTAATGCCTTTTACGACCGCCTCTCTCTGTCCTGAATATTTATTTTATTGCCCCTGTAGGGAGATTTTTCCATTTGGTAAAAATCATCAGATGGTTTCAGTCATGTTAACAACTGTTCATTAAATGCAGAGGGGTAAACAGAAGTTAAGGTTTGTTTCTTTCCTCTTTCTCTATTTATTTTTAACTTATGGAGGAAATTCATGGATGGACCCAGGCAGGGAGATATATTCAGATGCTGTCCCTCTCAACTGGGTGGCTATTCCCAACCATGCTTCCTACCTTTCAGAGAGGGATAGAGCTTCAGCAAAATGAAAGGTTAAGGTTTCAATCTGCACAAGACTAAAGTTTGCTGAGTGACCTTCATGTTTAGAGACCCTGATCTGTTTATTTTTCCTTTTGGTCCAAGTTGCAGAAGACATGTATCTTCATCATGGAGAAAGCCCTTTAAGTTTTGAACAACTTCAAGTCACTGGTATGGAATGGTTGAAGAGAAAGAACCAGATAATGGTAAATAGATGAATAGATGATGATGATTGAGTGGATGGATGGATGGATGGGTGGATGGATGGATGGATGGATGGATGGATGGATGGGTGGATAGATGATGGATGGATGGATGGATGGATTCATAGCAGCTTAGGCAGATGGAATTGCTGATTGCATATGAGTGAGTATGGGCTGGAGAGATGGCTCAGCTGTTAAAGGCTAGGCTCACAACCAAAATATGAGTGAGTATAATGGATGGATTGATGGGTGGATGTGTGGATGGTGGTGGAGACTGGTGAAGAAATAAAAGGAGAAAGGTATTTATGGATGGATGGATGGATGGATGGATGGATGGATGGATGGATGGATGGATGGAGAAATGGAAGAGGTGAGTTGGCATATGGGTGAATAGACAGTGAGTGGATGGATAGATTGGCGGGTGATGGCTGGGTAAATAGATGCCTATGTATGTGAATGGATAGATGGATGGTATTAAAGTTACTGTTGCCAGTTAGACACAGTCTAGAAGCACTGGGAATATAGTCTAAGGGAATTATCTAGGTCACATTATATTACAAGACATTTTTGGAATTGGGTTTTGATTGGGATGAGAGGACTTATTCTTAATTTTAGAGCATGATTTCATGGGGTGTACCCTGGAGTGAATGGAAGGGGGGCAGAAAGCTGAACACACATGCATTAATCTGTTGCTCTCTGTTCTTCACTCTGGATACAATGTGAGGGTTTCTCTCAAGCCACTGTTGCTGAGACTTCCCTGCCATGTTGGACTCCAACCTGGAATCTTGAGCCAAATAGACCCTTTCTCCTTTCAGTTGATTTTATGGAGTATTGTGTCACAACAAATAGAAACAAAACTAAGACAAATGATAAGGTAGGTGAAGGGTTAGGTAGATGCTTCAGAGGTGCTGAAAAATCCTTTTTACAAGAGTCCTTCTACTCACATCTGGGTGAGGCTCTCAGTGGTACCTATCTTCCAACTTGGCCTTGAAAGTTTGTCTGGGGAGTCTCTGCACCACAGACTCCTGATATCTAGCCAAAGTATCATGGAGTGGAGAACAAAGAACAGGACTCTCCTCTAAATAACAGCAAGGATAGAAGTCTGGCTTATCTGACATGGGAGTGGGGACTGTCTGTACAGGCATCAGGCTTAGTCCTCCACAGAAATTCTTGTCCTCTTTCCT